CAAAAATGCAACAACAACAACAACATATCCCTGTAATCCCACAAAATAAGGTCTAGGGAGGCTAAAGTGTACGCACACTTCACCTTATGTGAACTCAGGTAGCGAGGTAGATAGGCAATTTCCGATAGACACTCAGCGCATGAAAAAACAGTTCAAAACAGTATAGATTAAGAAATAACAAAAATGAACCTCACAAATCATACATAAAAATGCAACAACAACAACAACATATCCCGTATAATCCCACAAAGCATAGTCTAAGAATGCTAAAGTGAAAGTGTACGCAGACCTTACCCTACCTCCTACTAAGGTAAAGAAGTTGTTTTCGATACACCCTCAGCTCATGAAAAACACAGTTCAAAACAGTATAGAAAAATAAATAACGAAAATGAAGAAGTCATCGCAAAAATACTACACACACAACCACACAAATCATACATAAAAATGCAACCAAAAAAATTTCACTCAAAACCAAAAAAAAACTAAAGATACCCTTTTCTTAATAACTAATAATTCAACTAAAACAGAAGTAAAAGAACTCAATTTTCAACTAACCAGTTCAGAACGGCATTTGGATCGATAATTTTCAGATTTAACAAAGCCAACTATCAAACCAACTCCAACTAAAACCCCAATCACAACACCCAATACAAACGACATCGTTTAGCTCTTCTTCTTCTTCTTCCAAAGTTCCCTTCTTCTTTTTTTCAAGATTCAGTGAAAGTGAAGCTAAGAGACTACTAGAACGTGTTTTTGTTGTGTTTTTTTGTGCTTGTGGGGTTTTCACATAATTAAACAAAAAGGTGGTGGGTCATAACTCATAAAGATTACAAGTTTTCGATAAAATTTCGTAGCTAAACAATAAAAATCTTGTAATGTCATGTTAATTCATTTACTTAGGAATTATCGATAAATTATGTAACTAATTTTGTGTTGTCTTGTAGGGTAATGAAGAGATTTTAGAGTGAAGATTTTGTTTGGATTATTCATCTTTTAAGTTTAAATAACTTTTTTTTATCTATACAACAAGATATAAATGTTATTGGTAGAGTATGATAAGAATAAAATATACGTAATTTTATCTTGTGGTACAGAATATATTTTTGAAAGATTTTCAATTTAAGAAATGTTTATTAAAATGAATAAAAAGATGTCATAGGAGCAGGGGTTTTACCCTATGCGCACCCAAAGAGTAGCGGTTGCAGATTTTCCTTCATCAAAAAAAGAAGAAGCATAATCATAAGAAAATAAAAATAATGATTTAAACATGATAAATAATATTTAATACTAGTATAATAACAATGAAAATAGTTTTAATATTAATCCTCCTTTTTGAATAAAATTTGTGTAGTTATAATATACTCTCATTAAGTGTAAAATAAAAACTTATGAATGATTTCTAATTTTCTAAGTGAGCTACGAAAATACAGTAAAGTTTTTGAGTAATGAAAATAGTTGTTAATAATTGCATTAAGATAAAATGTTTACACACCCCTTGAAGTGTGGTTTTTTTTATAAATTTTATTAACGTGAAATATTTTGTGCTATGAACTGTTTTTTTTTTGTTTTTTTCATGGAAAACAAAAACAGATAGTGTATTTTATTATTATTACTAGATCAGTGCAGCCCGTGCAATGCACGGGCCCAACAAATTGGTTAATGAATTTTTTTGATACATTTTACTTGAGAAAAATTTAATTATTATGAGATATTTAAAATAAATTATTTGTATTACAAAATTGTAAGGAATGCAAATTTAAATTTATAAATATACTACAAATTGCCTCTTAGGTACCCTTTGTTGTTTGTGTGAAAGTTTAAGTAAAATAAGAAACTAAAAATTCTTGCAACATTTGATAAGAAAAAGTAAACAAACAATATAGGTTGTTGACACAACTCTATCTTCATTTCAATTGTAGCGTCTTATTCAAACTGGGCAACATGAATAAATGTATTAATGATCACCTAATTAAGCTATCAAAAATGTTGATAAACAGATCAACACAGAATCTCTAGAAAACATATCTAGGTTTCATCACCACTTGTATTTTCAGGAAAATAATTAATCAAATAATATGTTTAGAATACATTTCAATCTAAATTTATTAAAACTTGTCAACCGAAAAAAGAAAACAGGGATAAAGACAACATTGTTAATTCAGTACCAAGCCACTTGAAACTTTATTTCACATCATCAATAAATAATATCATCAAAAAAGATTCTTATATATATATATATATATAAGAAATTGACAGGTTTGATACGTATAGTATTTTTTAAGCAACTGTCATATAGCATGAAGCTACTTGTTCACAAAATTTCAGTACCATGACAATTTGCAGCTTTTTTGTACTCTTCATGAGTTAATCTAAAATTACGTGTATTTTGCACTTCCAATTTGATTCAGTATTATCCTTAAAATTTAAAAGGATCTTAGTACTTGCTCCTTAGGTTCATAAGATCAATAGTAGTGAGAACATCCAAGTATATTAATCTAATGCAAGGTGTCATACACTAAAAAAAGAAAAACAAAAGGAAGAAAAAATTCAGATACACATTTTAAATCTAAGCTTTTAATGTAGAAACATTATAACAAAAAAGATTGAACTGAAGAGCAGATGAAGGTTCAGATAGCGAAAAGACAATCATAATCACGGTAGAAAATATAATATGAATAGATTATTATTGTTAAAAAAGTAAAGAAAAGAATAGTCGTTAGGGTCCTCTTTAAATAAAACTACAAATAATAGAAACACTTGTTCCTACAACTAATTTTGTCAAGGTATCCGCAACAAAATCATGAAAGCATGTAAGATTATTGATTAAAACTATACCTGTTGTCTCAACAGGAAGAAGAGCATCCATAGTATGATCAAATTCATAATTAAAATGCAATCTCTTGGACGAAGCTCTAAAATTTTCAAATTTAATATGGTGTTAATAAGAGGAAGAGCTCCCAAATGATGCAAAGATAAAATGTTCCAAGGAAAAAATAAATAAAAACCTAAAATATAAATCTGAAAATCCAATAGGCATGAAAGTTTAGACAGTCTGCAAACTATATATTAGTTTGACCAATCACAATATGACACTTTAGATCAAATCTATTTTGTTGAAATCATAAGAAGAGATATTAAGCCTACTTTTATTCAATGTATTTTTATTGTCAAATATCTCTCTGTGTTCTTGACCATTCATAGTTTTTTTATAGAAAAGAAAAATATCAACTTAATTGATGTTGTATAACTGATCTCCGGAAAAAATCCTCATAACTTAAGTCGAAAAGAAAAGCTTTTCCATCAAATCCAATCACAAAGAATGTATCGCAATTACATGTAGTAGCAAGACTGGTGGGTCAATTAAAGTGAAGACTCTAGATTAATCAATTCCTAAATGAAGTACATTCAATTGGGTTAAAGATTATGCATCACTGCCTTATGCAACTAATCCATTAGGAAATGTTGATACTTTATGCAGTTTTTTCAATGATAAATTTCCTTCCTGATTTTTGTAATATAAAAATATATTATACGTATTTCAGTAAGTTTAGCTATAATAGAAGAAATGAAGATGAATAATCATAAAATTCATTCAATAGATATAAACCTGCTCTAAGTTACCATTGATCTCTATTGTACAACCTTAAATTCATGAAAATACCCTTAAAAATAACCACAACTGTAAAATCTAAGTAAAAGAACAAAACATAAAAAGGTTTAAATGAAAAAAGTGATGATATAAGTTTAAATGTTAACCTTATTCTTTGTTAAGCTTCAACATTGTTCAGTCAATTTTTTCTCCTGCACATATACAAATTATCATTTGACATATAAAAAGTGCAAAGCTAAGTTTGCGACTCAAGAGTTGAGAAAAAATGCACAATACATCTGTTGAGAATTATTGTTTGTACTTTTAGTTCAAATTGTGTATCTGATTACTCTGATGGGCCAATGTTTTATATTTCTAGGAGCTCCCTTATAGATGCTCCTAGAAAATGTTACTTGGTGGTGATGCAAAGGAGAAGCATGTTGTAAGCACAGACCCGACATAATGAATCTTGATTAAGGAAGATCTCTATGTGCCAAAAACAATAGCATAACGAAACTCATACCATTTAGAAAAGCATAATGGTACTTAAGCACTTTATGCTGAGGAATAAAAAATTCATGTAGCAGATTGTTTTAGAAAGAAAGAAAAGGAATTCATGTTTGCCTCTTTACTCTTATAAATGTAACATCTAGAGGAGGAGTAAGAACATCTCAACTCTCATATTTTTTTCTTGAAACTGATAATGTTACATCTCAACTCTCGTCTTAAAACAAAAATGTAAGTCATCTATAGCTTGTCCAATCACTAACAATATATATTAACTATCTTATCCATCCTAAAATACATTTGTGTACATCTAATATATAATCTCATCAAAAGTCACTCTCTTACATTTAAAACTTTGAATGTTAAATATATATGTACCTTTTGATGTTTAAACTCAACACCTTCCACCAACTCCAAAGGTAAAAGGAGGATTCTCTTAGTATTCACATTCACAACACAATGCGTGTTAGAACTTGTACCATGACATAGCCGAAGTACAAAATATCTTGCATGTATAAAGAAAAAAAATAGAATAGAAATGTATGATGCAGCATGGTTGATTTAGGCATATGGGATATTCAGTAGTAGTAAATTCCTTCAATAACAACTTTCAAGCAACAATCTCCTCCATTTTACCATTTTAATTATAGAAATCAGGTCCATAGAGTTAAGGGTAAAAAAAAAAAAAATTTAAAAAGAAGAAGTTCAGCAACATTAACTCCTTTAGTTTCTACCACTACCTGCCTGTACATGACATATATAAGCTTAGCTTCTTCTTTTTTTGGCTTCGTGGTGGTTCAAAAAAGAGTAGGAATACTATCAGTTACTTGTTTAACTTAAATAAATAATATTTGTTCAACTAAACTCATAGAGAGTTGCGGAAAGGATGAGAAGAATTTCTTACCGAGTTACTTTGAATTGCATCGTCGAACGGGTTCTTCCAACTGCATTTGCAGTATGGCTGACCGCAGTTCTTCGAAAGATGTTCAACTGATCATTTTGTGGGAGAAACATTTAAAAAATTGGTATGCATCTATAGATATTGCTGCTCATAGATAATGGCATTACCATATTGCCTTGAGAAATGGTGCTTTCCTATTGAAAAATTTCTGAAAAAAGAGCAATATATCTGAGAAACTCTTAGAAATTAATTTACATGCTATAAGTTCTTCAGTAATGAAGATGAAGTTTGACAGCTAGCTATACTCAAGAATTTCTTAGCCGTTTTGTCCTACTAATTATTTGAGCCTAATATCAAGAAAAATGAATCATGAAAACTATAAATTTTTACACATAGAAAAAACAAATAAGATCAACTAACAACATGATTAAAACGGGACAGTGAAATGTGTTAAATGAAAAGAAAAAGAAGCAAAAACTTAGTCTACATCATTAATTCAGTCTTATGATACTTATTTTTCTTGTTGGTACAAAACAAACAGGAAATTTATTAAAACCCGCATAAATAACAAATGAAACTAACACTATGATTAAAATGTGGCAGTGAAATGTGTTAAATGAAAAGAAAGCACAAACTGAGTCTAGATCGTTAATTCACAGTCTTATGGTACTTCTTTTTCTTGCTGGTACAAAACAAGCAGTGAATTTATCAAAACCTGCATAAATAACATATGAAACTAACACATTATGACAGTGAAATTTGTTAAATGAAACGAAAGCAAAAACTTAGTCTAGATTGTTAATTCACAGTTTTATGATACTTATTATTCCTCCTGGTACAAAACAGACAGAGAATTTATCAAAACCTACATAAATAATACTCTATGAAATTAACAATATGATTAAAACATGGTAGTGAAATGTGTTAAATTAAAAGACAGCAAAAACTCAGTCTAGATCATTAATTCATAGTTTTATAATATTTATTTTTCTTGCTGGTACAAAACAGACAGTGAATTTATCAAAACCTACATAAATAACATATGAAAGTCAGTAAGCAACTTTTAGTTATATATTTTTTTCAAATGGATCTTTCAGTTATAGTTTTTCATAATAAAAGCCAAAAGATGACATCGGCATTGAGGTTTTAAAAGTTTCATCTTTATCTTTGATTATGAGCCATGACAAGCATAAATAACCATGGACCTTATAATCATTCATCACCTCTATACAGCCATAAAAAATTAAAAGAGAGCAAAATTTAGGATAAAAAATTGTACCAATATTTTTTATACATGAACTATGAATGCTCAACATAGAAAAGCTAAGCACCGTTGCATTATTAAAAAAAAGACACTATCAAACTACTATTAGGTGCATCTAATATAAAATAAAATTCCTCAAATTTATTCATACCTAAATAAGTATACCTTAGTAAGTAAATCAATATCAACTAAATCGAGAAGGTGCGTGTTTTGATCACGCACATACCGAATAGAAGAAGGTTTTGGTGGAAAACTTCAAAATCCTCCATTATTGATAACCGTTCGAGTCTCCATTAATGAGATTCTTTAACTATAGGTTATTTCAGAGCTAAAAAATGATAAAAGATAATCGATTGGGTGCTTATGATTATAGTTAAATCCACAACACTGACTGATTCGAAAGAACAATGAAGGGAACTTCAATCTGGGTTAAAAATTCGGAAAAAAAAACACTCCATTAATGGGCAATGAGCCAATGACTCAAGTATGAAATGTTTTGCTGATAAAATCAATTGGGTGTTTAAAGTATCGTTTCTCTGTAAAAATATCTCCTGAAGAATGATTGAGAAGATGAAAAAGAAAAGAAAAAAAGAATGATCCAGAAGCATTCTGTTTAATTTACCCTTGCATAATATGTATAATTACAGGTTTGCCATTGGTCGTCTGGTCGGCTTCACTTTTCTATATAATAGAAATAGAAATATTCATACTACTTTATGTTTATTAAGATTTGGACAGACATCGCCACTTTCCTTAAGTGTGAAGATCGCCATTTGCCGACATGACACGTGTACAGCTAAGATCATCCCAATTATTATTCCATGTTTCACATAGATTTTCGGGATAAGATGCAAGTAGCCCTAGACTATGATCGAAATCATTGGAGACACACTTTAATTAAATTAAGGTCGTATTATCCCTCCGAACTCGTTTTATTTGTAGTTTTATACACCCTTTGGTTTACGTGGCACACTCTGTGACTCCACATAGTTGACGCGTGTGGAAAATGGATGCCACATAAGTAAAAAAAAAAAGTGTATAAAATTATATAAAAATGAGCTTGAGGGGTAATAGAACATTAATTTAGTTAAGGTGTGTCTCTGAGATTTCGATTAAAGTCTAGGAGGTACTTGTGTCTTATTCCGTAGATTTTATTTGGAAAGTCCAATAATTCAATGACTCTTACCCAAAGCTTCTAAATATTTTTAATTAAATTATACATATATGATCTTATAATACAAAATTTGAAAGAGTAAGATAAATTTAAAAAGAAAATAGTTTTTTTTTTAAAAATAAAAAGAATATTTGAAAGTTATACTATACTTGTATTCGATGATGATGACATTTTTGTGGGATCAGCCTAATTTTGTTTTTATTTATTTAGTCGACTATTTTAAATAATTCCCCTAAGATTCTTGGACATGAATATGTACTCAACTAATTATATATCGTGGGAAGATCTTTTATGAAAATGTATTGGTAATCAAATAAAAAAAAAGAGAACGGTTGATGACGGTAGTGAAAACAATTAAAAAGAAAAATAATAAAGTTCTAATTCTAATCGGAAAAAAATATTATTGCTTTTGTACATTATTTAATAACTCTGTTTTTAATTTGATTCCTACTGAATTTTACTGTTGATGTATCGAGTGGCACTTTTATCATTTTTATAAAGGGGGTTCGAAAAATAAAAATGTAGTACCTATTTGGAGTTAAAATTTCAAGGTAAATTTTGAACTCCCTAAACTACTGAGTCAATCATTTATCTTGTGTTTAGGAGATTTAAACTCTTGATATAAACATAAAATATTCAAAAATTACCTTTTTATATTAGTGTTATTTTTTATCGAGTGAATTAGAATGAACACCCTTCTATATCTCTTGATCCGTCTGCGGATGTACCACATATTTTTATATCTATGTAGACTTTGTAGAGGGCTAATTTCGTGTCATTTTATAGTATCTCGATAGTTATTTTCCTCTTTTGCTTGTGTGATGAGTTTTTGATTCACATATTTTGTTCTAACTTTACTATATACTTTGAAGCAATGCTTGATCGATACGCAACTATAAATGTTCCAAACAGTTGTTTTGGCTACTACTTCAACTTACCTCTGTTCAACAACCAAAATCATTTGGTATATTTTTTTTGTGAACGGAGACAAGTCAAGGAAGTAGCCGAAACATTATCAATTGCCCTTGGTTGTGTAAAAAAGATATAGTTTAAACTCAATGATTATACCTTGCGGTTCAAGAAATTTCTTATTATTGAGTTAGAAAGTGTTATGAAGACGATAACACTGTTTATAACGAGTCAAATGACTATACATCTTATATATACAAGTTTATATATTATTATACACCACATATATACAAGTTTATGTAAAATTATACATAGATTATTTAGTCTTGACGTTGCATATTGAGTTTAGAATGGTTAGTTACTTTTAGATGAACACTCTCCTAAATTTTAATTTATAGGTTAAAGTAGTGTACGTAAAATCTGAATGTTGATTTCCAAAGTCAATTCCAACAAAGTGGTTAAAATCTTGGACTAAGACGATCAATGCTTTTTCCTTCATAAAAGAATTATCAAAACATTAAATGAAATCAATATTAATTAGATATCGATCATTTGCCCCCTTTAATATACAAAAACCGAATTGAAAAACTCTAGGACATTGAATCCACAACACTAACTAAGGGTGTCAAAATGAGCTCAAATATAGGTAACCCGCTCATAATTTTATGAGTTGGGTTCAAGATAATTTGAAGAGTAAATTTTGAGACTAGCAAACATAAAAATCATATTAGCGCTTTATAGCTACAATTTTGATATTTGCGCTCATAGCAAACATAGTTTGCTATAGAGCATCTAATTTGTATAAATCGCAATAATTTGTACAAATCGGGCGTCTGTGCTATGAAAATTGTGTTTGTATATGTATATGTTCTTTGTGTTAGTCTAGAGTGGAGAACAAGATTAAGAGAAAGGGGAGAGAGGCGAGCGAGAGAAAGCAGAGAATGAAGAGAGGTGAATTATATATGTATATCGGTTAGATAATTGTGTATATATATATATATAACTACTATATATGTATCAATGATTCTGTTTGTATATCTGCATAAAATTTGAATTTACACAATCTCAACCCACTCGAATCTTAACCCATTTAAATGAATCTTTAATTGAGCTCAATTTAATCTCCAATCACAACCCGTTTTAAAACTCTTTATTTGCATTGGTGTTATAGATGTTCTCATATTAAATGTGTGAATCACTATCTATTCTATATCTTCTAAGATTTATCTATTTACTAGTGAACAAGTCCGCTTTTCGTGCGGTCATAAAAAGATTAGTTGAATTTACAATTAACTCTAATCCATTTAATCTAAAATGAAAGTAAATGTATTAACAATCATAAGCGTGAACATAAGATTTAAAAGATCGTCGATCGAAACTAATAACAACAATTTGTAGATGGAACCGTGGAAACACCTTAAGATTTTTATTGCTCCTATGACAACCCTTGATACGATCAAATTGATTAGCAATTATAGTACAAGATATTTTAGAAGAATGCATTCATTATAATCGAGTTATTTTAAAATACTTTCACTTTCTTTTTCTTTTTATGGGAAGCACCAATCGTAAATAGTTCTTTTGGCAAATCCTTCCTAATATAGTCATAACCTTAAATGTACCTTTAACGTCGAAAAAACTATTTTCAATGATAAATTCATTTTAATTACATTATTAAATTATACCTCATTGAAGAATAGTAATAAGATATTAAAAATTTAGTATAACTCACATTATATATTTTTAGCACATATCAAAATATTATTACTTAGTTGATTTGTAGAAAGTAAAATATAAATAAAAATAGTACTGAATTTGTCTATGAAATCTTTGGACTATTTAACAAATATATTGAATAATAATAATAATAATAATAATAATAATAATAATACACTAAATAATAATAATACACTAAATAATAATAATAATAATAATAATACACTAAATAATAATAATACACTAAATAATAATAATAATAATAATACACTAAATAATAATAGTAATAATAATAATACACTAAATAATAATAATAATAATAATACACTAAATAAGAATAATAATAATACACTAAATAATAATAATAATACACTAAATAATAATAATAATACACTAAATAATAATAATAATAATACACTAAATAATAATAATAATACACTAAATAAGAATAATAATAATACACTAAATAATAATAATAATAATACACTAAATAATAATAATAATAATAATAATAATAATAATAATAATAATAATACACTAAATAAAAATACTTCATCTCTTTCCATTTAAAATTATACCTTTTTCAAACATATTATGGAATTCTCAATTGCTCAAAGCCTATCATTTGCAACAATTAGAGAACCTTAAAAACTTAAATACACAAAAAAATAAACAATTTTTATTACAAATAAAGAGGGAAAAAAAAATCATAACTACAAAATTGTGAAAGGGGGTGTCCAAAAAAATATTAAAATTGCCGGTAAAATATAAAGTTTTGATTATTACTATAAAATAAAGAAAGCAAATATTTTAAAAATCTTTAAGTTTGACTATAGGAACTTGATGAAATAAACCTCTTAGCATCTCAAAAAATATAGACAACTCCTCATTAGCTTTCCAAAAGCAAAGCTGACCACTTTTATAAACCAAATAATATGAAAGTATGATAAAAAAAAATGAATATTTAAAACAATATCATACAATGATTATAAGATATTTTTAAAGTTTAATTTTGTATTTTTGAGAAAATTCACATTATCATTATTTTCCCCATAAGAGAAAATAATGAGTAACAAAAATACAAAAGGAATGATATGTAGATAAACTTGATCAACATATAAATAAAAAGATAGTAAAGAAAAATGAAGATTGTCAAGCACTCATAAAAAAAATGAACTCGATAAAAAAGTGTTTTGTCAAAAATAAAGAGGTTGAAGTAACTATTATAACATATACGGTTACTGGTTATATTAAGAAAGTGACTATAGAGATTTTGAGAATTTCATATAAACTTTAAATCAGAAACACATAATATATATATATGTTTATCACAACCTGACTTGACATAAAATTTAATAAAGAATGAAGACTTTGTGAACTTTTAGTTTTAAATATTTCATAATATTATTCACTATGATTATGTCAGATTAATGTAAAAGTCAAATGTAAATTTGAAAAGTCAATTTTGGCAAAGTAATTAAAATATTAGACTATGACATAAATTTATTCTCCTCAATATAAGAATTTTCATATATTAATCTAAATCAAAATTATATATCGATAGTTTGCCCCCTTAAATTAAAAAAATTAAATCGAAAAAATTTAGGGCTTTAAATCCACAACAATAGCATGTATACTAAGCCATATCCTCTTTTCCTAAAATGTCTATATCTCCAAAAATCATAATAATTTATCTTTATTCCTTTTATATATGAAAAGTTTTGACTTCTAT